AAGTGGACCCTGCTTGGATGTTTTGACTAAATATAAATTACAAAAGTACAGAACTCCTGCATTCGATTTATTTATAGCCCTAGGAGAAGAGGTCCGGTAAATCTTCATGGGTAAAAATTATACACATCCACACAAGAAATAAATCTTTTGGAAAAGATTATGAATAACAAAATTATTGGACTTTATTTCTTTGATTAAAATCTTTCTGGGAGCCTGATATTTCTTCAAAATGACTTAATTGGTACTCTCGGCATGATATGCAAGATATACAGATTGCTCCGCCCCAGTTTTCTCGACAAATGCGTGAATATTTAAATACGGACAGTGGGTTAGTCGAAGGGGATGAATACAATGGCCTGCAAGATCTCCACTGAATTTTTTCCTCTGTGGATTTTTTATATCAAAATTGTATAAGTAAAAACCACAAAATTCGTGATTATTTAAAATTTTTAATTATATACGAAATAAGGAAATTTAATGAACATATCCTGAGTAATGTTTTGGAAAATAAAAAAAATTGACATTCCGCGTGTCTATAAATTTTCTCTTAATTTTACTGACTGTGGATCATGTAATGGGTCTTTCTGTATGTTTTGCGTCAAACAACTTACAAGCTTCTTCTTGAGTTCTTGTGTCGTGTTAATATCCAATAAATATTAAAATTTCAATTCTCTGAGTTTCATTTAGGTGGTATATTCACTTTCTTTAGTAACTGAAACGTAATTGTCACAACTAAAAAACTTTACTGGTACTAGCTACTTATCTGTTCATTTCAAAATTAAAGTTCTGTGTTTCTTTAAACGGAATCTTCCATTTTATACTTAAAGATTGTCAAATTATTTTTCCTACTAAAGCATAAAAACACAGCACTTGAAAATATTAAATTTCAATATATTTCTGTTAGATCAATCCAGAATTCTATTCTAATTTTTTTGAACGATTAAACAATCACTCTCGTCCTTGAGTAGACCATACAATTTTAAGTCTTTTTCTGGAAAATTAACGAGGATAAACGCTAGCAGCCCCAGATGAGAGCTCTAAGGAATCCATCATAACTCCCCCCAGAGAGAGAGAGAGAGAGAGAGAGAGAGAGAGAGAGAGAGAGAGGGGGGAGGGAGAGAGGGGGGAGAGGGAGAGAGAGGGATGGAGGGAGGGAAAGAGGGAGGGAGGGAGGGAGGGAGAGAGAGAGAGGGAGAGAGAGAGAGGGAGATAGAGAGAGGGGGAGAGAGAGAGAGGGAGATAGAGAGAGGGGGAGAGAGAGAGAGAGGGAGAGGGAGACAGAGATGGAGGGGGAAGAGAAGGAGAGAGGGAGAGGGAGACAGAGATGGAGGGGGAAGAGGAGAGAGAGAGAGGTTGGAAGGAGAGAGATAGCGGGAGAGAGAGAGGGGGGGGGAGAGGGAGAGAGAGAGAGATAACCACAGCATACCTAATCGGAACTTCATAAGCGCAGAATATAAACGGTCGAACACTCTCTAGTCAGTCCTTGCAACATAACATTTTTAAATCTAACATTACTTATAAAGTATATTAGAAAACACACAAGCGATCCCCACACGACAGCAGCAATAGCATAATAATCAGTCAAACTATCTTGAACAAATCGATACCCTCAAAAAAAAAAAGGTCAGTAATTTTTTTTCTATTCCCCTCTGTAAAATACTCTATCGAAATTTCAGGTCAAATTTGGGATACATGCCCAAGTGTTAAGAAAGATCGATAACCAGGTTCGAAGATGATACGAATAACCGTTATAGATTAAACAACTTTAACATAATTAGTTTCCGATGGAAGTTAAGGTTGTCAAACGACGGGTCTCATTTTTAAAAACACTTTTTTCTTGTTTTATAAACAGAGCTTTACATTAAGCCGTTACAAGGAGAATTGAAATACAAAGTATATTGTAGATGTATTTATAACGTTCTTATGCCAACCTCGCGTCGCAGATACTGGGAATGCTGAAGCTAACATTTCTTGTAGTCATCAGCATTTTCTATCACATAATACAAAACACGATATCCGGTCCACCGTTCTTAAAATACGTTAGTTGACTGAACTGCTGACGTTGTGTCACAAAGAATACAAGAATTTCTTGATAAAATATTTTCAAAAATTAACTCAATAGAGTCCAAAATTGGTATATTGGAAAAGGAAAACGAATTTTTAAAGTCCAAGGTGGATGATTTAGAACAAATCAATAAATTAAAATAACTAAGAATTTATGGATTTCCTGAAAGTAAGAGCAATAGTGCTCAGCTTCTTGGTCAAGTTGCTCAAAAGATAGCAGAATAGTTATTGTTGAAGAACTGACAAAAACCAAGCATGAACTCCTTCTCTTAGCTAAGGAAAAGTTGGGAACAGGAAAGGAATGGACATTTACTTTCAAAGTTTATTCAAATATCAAGGAAAAAAAGGTTTAGATCAGAGCCACAGCCGTTATCACGGAGTACATGCTAATGAAGGATATTAAAATCGCTTAACTTAATATCACTTGTACTACATTTATACTGTGTTTTCAGATCAGACAGACGTCTGGGTGCCATTCTTCTAGGGAAAGTGTTCTAAAAAAGATTACATTGTCGGGGTGATATACAGGCTTCCGCAGGGTAATATTCGTGTATCTTTGTATTATTTTGAGAAACGTCTAGCTGATTTTCATCCTTTTCAATTTATTTTGCGTTGTCCACACGAATTTAAACATGGATACATCTACCATTATACAAATTTATTCCACGACTACATTGAGTCTTTAAAATTACAGAAAATAGTTCGAGGAAGCCACTAGAGTAACTAACTATACTTGCAGATTAGTAGACTTCATATTACCACCGAGTGATGTAGTCCATTTTAATACAGGTGTGAAGGATGTTGGTTAGTCTATATTGTCATCTAAAAAACATTAAGATTAGTGATGACGAGATTGGAAAGGGAAGAAACATAAAAAATATCGACAGGGACCTGTTAAACAATCTTTTGGCTATCACTTATTTCGCGGATATCATCTATATAAAACATATAAATGACAAAGTCGGAACATTAAACAATCACATAAAAAATAACTTTGATGCCCTGGCTCCAGCTGTAGAAATAAAATCGAAAAATATAAAACCCCCCTGATTAACACACCATAAAAAATATAATACCCCTAAAATATAAAGCCTATAAAAATATCAAATCCAGCCTAACGACTAAAATTGGAATTAATTTAAACAAATTAAATAAACATAGCCATCCGCCAAGAAAGGTAACGATATCCTCAGCACAGTGTCAAAGATTCATTGACAACTCGAAGCTCTTTTGGAATACACTTAAAAATCTTAATATATATTACAAAAAACAGTCAAATAAAATACCGGGCGAATTAAACAAATCCATAGCTTTAAATAAACACAGGAATAACTCGATGGGGCCAGACGTCTTAAACTTTTTCAAAAACAATACGATGCTACAAGTAAATTCCCAATTTCAATTTTACACAATCTCCGAGGACACATAAGGAAGTTCATTTTTGAAAAATGATTTTATTATGCGTTAAACCATTTCTTACCAACATTATTAACTCTTGTTTCTTAGAAAATACCTTTCCAAATTAATGGAAAATTGTGTAAGAAAAAAACACGTTGAAAGTTTTAATGATCTAATAACATTTTCGAAAGTAATAGAAAAAATTATAAATTTTCAAAAGAGGGAACATATTGACCGATTTTGCATTTTACCAACGTGCCAATCTGGATTGAGTCCAGGATTCAGCTGTACCACTACTTAAGTATAACTGACGATATCATTAATGCAAGGCTAAAGGTAAAACCACAGCGTTAATTTCATGACTTCAGCAAAGCATTTGATCACCTAATTCGATTAAATTTCGAAAAATTTTTGTTATTCGGAACAAATAATGATAGATTGTGTTAAAACAGTAAAACCAAATTTTAGGCGAATTTTAAGTTCAGATTTAATTCTCAAGTCAATGTATCCAAATGGCACATACCAATCTTGTAGGTATTTTACCCCATCGACACCGTTTGTCTAGGAGTGACAAGATTCAGACTAACGGATTCACTTGTTTTTAGTCATTTTAATTTTGCGGATGTTATATATGCTCCTTGCGTCCTTAGTATAGACAGCCACAGAATACAGCGCATCCAGAAAGCATGCCGTAGAGAACCTGTCTCTCATAAATTAAAGGAAACGAACCGGAGAAGCGCAGAACTTTGGACCGTGCTGTGTTGTTTCCTAAAATTACTATTAGAAATCGGCTATAGTATCTAACAAATTAAATTAGATATCGGACAGATGTGCACACTCTTAATTTAAGATTTCTACATATCCCCTCCACAACATAGCACAGTCTACTATGAAAGATGTTTCATTTGTAATATTTATATTTTGTTTACAAATATTTCGAACAACTTGAAAACATTAGCTCAGGGCTCATTTAAATATCAATATATAGAGTTTCTTTTAAGTTATTAATATATGAGTGACTTTTTTTTGTTACTTTATATACAATTTTTGTTTAAGTGGATATCGTTCTAGTGACTCTTTTTTTGGCTTTTTTCCGTCCTTTTCGTACAGTGTGCTTATTGTAGAGGAGTTAGAACTTTAGTGTAATGGGCATTGTCAAGATTCATAGACATTATATATAGTGTACGTTATTGGATATAGATGCTAAATAAACTATTTTTATTATTATTAATATTATTATTTTCTTTAACTGATCTCAATATTTTTTAAGGGCAAAATGGACATAGTAAATTTAGTTCAGTTTAGTGTGTAGTGATTGCAAGTGTACTATCGATAACGCTTAAAATTATCCAAAATAAAAACAAACTACTGAAGTATACATGTTTTAAATATACAGTGGTGCGCTCCAATAGGGGTACATTTTTGCATTGCTTTGCCAGTTCTGCACCCGCTTAAGCGTTTAAATTTAACAACATGATCTCGCAACGACCGGGACTTGACTAACTGCGCGACCATTAAAGAAACGTTCTTTGTTTCAGGCCAAACGCAATAATGAAACAGCCAGTGTAAATTTGCACTACAAATCGGTGAGTATTACACTTAATTGGGTAAATTTATTTTCTCGACCACGCGCGATGCAGCTGTACACGTTCGGCTTAAAGCGCGACCACGTTAAGAAATTTATTTTGCCATTACCTCGGAATTTATGGAAATTTAATGCTCCGTTTTGTGCGGTTTCGTCCTATTTTTGCAGCTAAAAAAGAAAATATGAAAATATAATCTAAAAATGTTTCAATAATTAAAAATAATGCAAGCGTAAAACGCATACAAATGAACAATTCTTGATAACTAATGCCTCAAACATAGTTGAGGAATCCGATTACTAAAAATCGGCTTAGTAAGAAAAGTCACATACATTTGCACATCATCTTGAGTTATCTAAACTCAACGGCAGATCAAGAGAGATATCCAACTTGCCTAACTTTTATATAATATAGTTGACATTTATCTGCTGGTGTTCGATTTTCAAACAAAGGTCATAGTTGATCTGTGTGTCAGTGGTGCTGAATTTTTTTTTTAGTTTTGGTAGTCGTTATAGATCTTTTTATGAGTTCAAAACCAAATGCGTGCAAATATTGCTTCATAAAATTTGACAAGAAAAATATTTTATTTCAAATTTTTATTAGTATTGTTAAGAGTTACCGTTAAAACGCAAATCTTCCTCCTGCGTTGGCTGTTGATTAGTCAAACTTGCTGACGTTTCGCCAGTCATCCTGTTGGCTTCTTCAGGGCTTAACTGAAACTGTCTCGGATGACTGAGTCTCGGATTTTTCTTTGGTAGAAGAATTGATTAAATGCAAGAATTTTAGTTTTGGCGAATAGAATTTAATATCCGGTTGATGAGTTTATTTGTCGTAGTCTCAGTTAAGCTGGGAAGAAGCTTAAAGATTTGTAAATAGTATTACAGTAGCCCATAGTTTAAAAAACTTTATTAAAAGTTATTCTCCATCAAATTGAATTTTGACATTCAGGAGCATTCTGCAAATAAAAAACCGGTTTCTTTCATTTTCTATTTTTTTTTATTATTTCACATAAGAGGTTAGCATTTCTTAATTAGTAAGGCTTTGTTCCTCCTTTAGCCGGAATAACCGCCTCATTCCATGAACTCTGGTTTGCACGGCTCTGGTTTTGATAATTTTCTTTCCAAATGGTTCGCCAAAAAAATTCAAAAATCCCTGCTTTACATTCATACCATGTACAACGAGGCTTAAGACAAAAATCCGATACCATTGATGGATAGACCATGGACGAATATCCAGTATCGACAAAGAAAAGTCGAAGTTACAGGTAGCCACAATTACACAAATTTTACGCAATCTGCCGTTCAGTTTATTTGCCTTTTAATTTGTTGACTCTATGTTGGATGATTTTTATAAATAATTTTAACATAATATTTTTAAACTCCAAATTTTCATCATAATTTTCAGTTATCATAAATTTCTTGCCAATCGGTTACCAGGTAATACAGGCAGTTTTCAACCAACATCAAACAATGTTGCCGATGGTTATTCAATATTTGCAAGCGCCAGTAATTTGAAATTTACAGTTCTGCAAATATTATACGCAATTTGAATTGGAATTATTTATATAATATGAGCGCCAGTGAATATTTTGCTGCAAAAACAAAATTTTTGATTTCTGAGGTTTAGGTTCAAAACGAGTCAAAATTATTCAGAGATTAAAATGCTTATTAAAATGTTTATGTTAAAACTTCTTTATATTTTTATTACAATGCAGATATTTGTGGGGCACTTTATATTAATTTTAATGCCTCTATCTGCCTCCCCCCCCCTCTCTATCCCCTATCTTTCTCTCTCCCTCTCTCTTTCAATCTCTCTCTTTCTCGCTCTCTTCTAAATTTTGTAACAATTTTCAAATAAAATTTGGCAGGCAAGCAATAATCTTACAACATATAATAAAATGCATGCAGTATCCAATATTACTACATAAATTTGGTAACGTGTCTCTTAGTTATCGCCATGAATGATTACCGTTATATGATTCATTCAAAATTTTAAATTAATTGTTTCAGTGCGCTGATATTTTACAGGCTAATTTTTTCCCCCTATAAATTCTAGACATTGTAACAGATTCTAAATTTATTAATATTTAAATTTTAGTATTTTCCTTTTCCCTTGATCTCTTTTATTAGGTTAGGTTAGGTTAGATTTAAGGTTAAGTTTCGTGATGTAATGTAATGTAATGTCTCTGTAACTGTTATACTAATGTGTAGTGCAATCTACCTGTTAGCTGGGCTTTGTGCTATCTGTTAGGTAAAACCCTTGTCTATTGTCACGTTCTGTCCTGTTCTGCCTCGTCTTTCTTGATGTAGTCATTTATATTGTTTTATCTTTGCTAATTCGTAAGGCCATTTTTTCTGCAACTTTTTGCAATTGATGAATGAACTCTTCCTTGACACGTACTGTTGTAGTTCCCACTATATCTATCTAATCAGCCATACCCTCGATTGATGTCTGAAAATGAGCTCTTTTCGATGTTAAAGAAAAGTGGGTATAATGCACCTTCATGTTTGAGGTCACTGTTGACTGTAGAGAAGGTCCACATTTTGAAATTCTTCAACTTTTTTATTAACGATAATACCTAACCTAATAGTTTTTTCAATATTTTAATTTTTCCAAAACACTACAAAGCACTCTAATAGACGTATACCAACTATACAATCTTTTCATTGATTAATGGATTGCTAACGGTAGAATTGAATATGCAAAACGGAAAGTGATAAACCGGAATGCTACCACTGAGGATAAAAGATTGGAAATTTTACTTCAAGTTCAAGATAATTCTCAGGTCAGTAAGGTCATCAAGTAGCCAGCTTATTCCAATCTACCGATAATGGTACCAATAGAAAAAACAAAATCATCCCTTCCATACACCAAGAATTCTAAACCGTGATTTCGAAGAAGAAGAAGAAGAAAAAGCAATAGAAGCCCATCCAAATTTTCAGATGAAACTGTTTTTCGCAGTAATGGTGCAATTAATAGACTTAACATGAACTTAATATGAACTATTATTCAACAGTTAATCCATTCTGGGTACTTGAAGTGCAAAACCAAAACCATTGGTTACTTTATGTGTGGTGTGGAATAAAGCACTTTCAAATTTATGTGCTTTTTGCAGCACAAGAAGTTGATAGGATTGAGATCCAATAAATATGGTTTCAGAAAAACGAAGTTCCTCCGCGTTACCATCAATATGTTCAAGGATTTTTATATAATCATTACCCGCATTGGATGACCCCTTCGAGAATGTGACTTAACACCACTAGACTTCTTTTTGTGGGATGTGTTAAAGATCGTGTTTATGTGAATCTCCCTATAACACCAGAAGATCTGGAAAATAGAATTTGAGAATCATCCAGGAGAATAACACCGTTTATGCTACAAAAAAGACCAAACATATATATCGAAGTAGAAGGACATATAATACAATTGAAAACAAGATAAGTAAATTTGTAGTAATAAATATTTAATATTATTTAGTTTTTCTGTGAATTTAAAATTTGGCCGTTATTTTAACCAAAATAGTTAATAACTGTCTGTTGCTTTATCTAAGGCTCCAACAAAGTTCTTTTTGCTGTTTATTTTTTGATCTTGGCAGTGCCATGATGGCTAATAGTTTTGTCATGGCCAACTATTATTATAGCAATAGTCTTCCACATAAAGAAGTTTCAATATTGGCAAAGTTAAAATAAATCTCAAAGTATTAAAGATAGGCATATGACACACTCGTTGCAGGTTTTTGTAAGATCTTTCAGAAAATATAAAATTCCCTGTAGCATCTAATTCAAATTCTAAGCATATATCGTTTACGTCATCCGCTAATATGAAAACGCTAATATAAAAATAATGGCACTATCGTAATTGCAAGTGTGAAAACTATTTTTTTTTTAGGAAAATTAAAATATTGGAGAAACTATTACGTACTACATATTGACCTATCAGGTTCAGACAGCGGTCGGAAGAAGGCAACAGCATGTTATGTATAACTAAAAATGTTCCTAAATTTTTTTGTAATTGTGCGAATAGGTGAGATATAGTGCTTTGTCTCTATATCTCTATCAACACACGATAGGTGCGTTTATATCGTTACTTAAACCTAAGCAAGGCGAAAATTATACTCCGAATTTCCAGTATTAATCAGCGTCGATTACTATCAACGAACCGCTATATATTATATCACAGCGCAGAGACAGTAACCCGTGCGGGAATCCGGCCTCAGACTCCGGAGAATCCTTCCGACCCGGATTCACTAAATCAACCGTCAACTTATCGTTCTTGCTTTGGCAAAAAGGAAACGAACTCTTCCAAATTAGATTTTAAATTAAGGCCGCCGCTGGAGAGAAAACCGAATGAGGCGTTTCCCTTTGAAACGATAAAAAGGAAATCTATTTCAGGTGTCATCGTGAATGATGAGCCTTAAAAACCGAGGAAATTTTTCTTTAATTTTGCCGGGCAAAAAAATATAGAGACCGTGTTGATAAAATGTCGATATTATAGCTTACGACGTTACCGAATTTCTTCGAGATATCGCCCGTGGTTCGATAAATCTAAATTGACAATACCTGGTTTTATAATAGTTTAAAAATTTGATGTGAATAGAATATACAGGGTGTTCCACGACATGACTTCCATAGCTCGGGAGTGTGTTGCTGGGGTGATTCAAGTTAAAAATGTCAAGTGAACATATACGCGATGCTAACTGGGCTTCAAGCATTTGAAATTTTAATGACCATTAAAAAGGAAACCGCTATGTTGAACTAGTAGCTCCAGTATTACATTTGGCTGTTAATATTTTTATCGAAAATCCAGATTGCTTTGAATCTTATGTATTGTGGCAGAAAACGTCAATGAAATTAATTTTGCGTGTTTATTTTCGTGTTACATTAAAATACTCCTCAAAGTACTGTGTTTCCTTTTTCGAATGAAGAATACGCCAAGATTCATTTTGTTTATGTAGTTGATGAATATCGTCAACGATTTCCCACTTGTACAGCCACTTCTGAACG